TGCTACTTGCAAATTCCATTCAAAGGTTGAAATAATACAAAAAGTGGTTTTATTTGGTTAAATCAATTCCTACATGAACTCCATCTAAGACCCTGTTATGGTTCGTTCCGGCCTCAAATCGGGAAAAAGGAGGGTTGGGTGTGAAATCCACAATCTCATTCTGTGAGGAAGAACCCTGCCTAAAGGTATCAGCCAGAAATGTCAATGACTTTGCAGTTGCCACAAGACAATCTCGAACCATTCTTAATGATGAAACTGACATGAATCCAGACTGGTTTTATGGGATCTGCATCCGTCATCAAATTATATCTGATGCCTCAGCCACCGTAACCGATAGCACTCGATCACTATCTCTCAAGATCTATTGAACCAAACAATCAAATTCTAATATTATTTCTTCTTTTTATTCTGATATAGTCTATTGAACCCGATTAAGAAGTGGGGAGCTTACTTAAAAGTTAAATAGCTTAATTAATATGTTCCATCTCAACAATAATCACTACGTAGTGGAAGACGTAATAGATTTTTACGTAAAACAGTGTTTCCTATAAAAAAAGTAATTTTTTTTTTATTTTGAATTTGTACATTTACAAACCTTTTCCCACTAACAACTATATTGATCAATATTTCAGTAAGGAATACTTAGTCAATGTATTTCACTCATAAATTATTAAAACAATATACAATGAAGAAAATATTGGCGAACGGGATAATAAAAACAAACAAACAAACGAAATAACTTGACTTTACTTTTTCTGTTTGTTTATCAAATATTTGATACAATTTAAATGTTCTACCTTAAATGTCAATGAAAAAGAAGTTTTACTGTGAATTTCGAGTGTATGTCTGATTATAAAAATCATATAGAAGATGAATACGTACAAAAGTTAGAAATTATGAATCATACCAGTTTCATTCAATGACATAAAGTTTAAGTTTACAAAGTTGAACTTCAAACAAACAAACAAACCAAAGTACTGGATTCAAAGAATAAAGTAACTATTCAGTGTTGTATATATTTCACCAATGAATATTTACATTATTCTAAGTTTTCAACATTTGATTTGATTAACTAGATTATATAGATTAATTGTATATAAAGTTAGTTTATATCACATTTAGATATCGGCCTAATGACTAATAAAAAACTAGGGGGAATTGTCTGACTTTTACTTATTTCGTACTGTAAGTTGGTTAACGCTGTACAATGATAAATGTTAAAGTATGGGTAATCATAACTGTTCACTATTAAAATAAATGTTGAGATGGTAGAGAAGAATTGTAGATCAGGCGGGTGATTTTGATGGCGTTTTGTTCTTTGAGCTGGATGGTTTGGTTGTGGAGCTTTCATCGTTCTTCTGAGCGACATCGTCAGCATAAACTACCTGAAGTTTACAGTATTTAATACTGTGGAATAAACTATATTATTCTGCTTCTTTTAATGTGTTTTTTTAGATTGCTACCGCTGAAAATTTCAGAGGGTATTTGATGAAACGATATGTTTGTGTATGTATCAGACATTTTCGAATTCTAACTTTTATTTAGGCTATTTAAATTTATATTTTCACCAAGTTTTCATTCTTCCCGTTAATGATGCTAACATACTTCATTAACTATTCCTTAAGTGATCATTGAAAACGTTTTATATGCATGCGTAATATACTACTCTTTTGAGGTCATCAATTATGTAAAAGTTAGGGAAAAACTTGAGTCCTTAACTATTAATTCTCAGTTTGAAGGTCAAGTAATTTGGGAATAGTTTACTTTTTTTTGTTAATTTACTGTAAAACATTTTATAACTATCATCAAAGAAATTTCTTATTACAGAAGAAATTATAATACCGCAATCAAAGAAAAAATAACTATATAGAGTGAATAAAGAAAAAATAGGTTACTGTTGTTCTCATTATACAAGTGTTTATTAACAACTGTCTACGCAAAATAATTCGATCCGTTGATCAGACACTATCAGTAACAACCTACTGTGCAACAGAACAAACCAGATACCAATGGAGGAAGAAATCAGCAAGAAGCACTGGAAGTGGATAGCACATACACACATTGAAGAAAGCACCCAACTGCATCACAAGACAAGCCCTCACATGTAATCCTCAAGGCCAAATGAGAAGGGGAAGACCAAAGAACACATTACGACGAGAAATGGAGATAGATATGTGAAGAGTGAACAAGAATTGTATAGAAGTAGAAATGAATGCCTAGGACGGAGTGGGTTGGAGAATGGTGGTCGGTGACCTATGCTCCATTGGGGGTAATATACGTAAGTAACATCCTAATATATAAATATATATGAACAAATAACTGTACATATCCAATAGTTAGTTTACACTTGTAATGGTTTCATCATTAAAATTTACTGCATACATTTTAACAATGTGTATTGCACTTATGATATTTAGTTATTTCCACTGGTGCACTGTTATGTTGACTGAAAATGATAATAACGAGAGTTTATCATAGTTTAATTTGAAAAGATAAATATTAAACAACATCAGTTCCAACGAAAAATCGACACAAAGATTGAAGAGTTACAGAGTTCACAATACATGTGATTTATATCTATTTGTAAAGCTAAACAATATTCTATACGTTAAGTTGATGGGTAAAATTATGAATAATAAAAAATTAAGAATCCTGACTATAAGATTACTAAATTCATACATTTGATAAGTTATTGGATTTTTACTTAAGATCAGTTGATTTATTTCAAATTAGTCCGAACTCTGCATTTTTTGACTATATATAAACATTGAATATATATATTCCTTTATGTAAGCCATTAAAAGATGGTTTTCAACAAGAATTTTTTTGTTATCAATAAACTTGAAGTAAAATAATAAAAACATATAAGATATCTACATACTGTACAATATATCAGCCGTTTCTACAAATGGTCATAAGATAATTAATGTCAATTGCTGACTAACCATTGTAAATTGAGCTTACAAATTCACAAACCTAAGTTGATAACAATACACATTACCCAGTTACAAGAAAATACAATATAAATAACTGATTTGCTAACCAAATTTCCAAATTTTTACATGGATACATCGGAATCTATACACGGATATATCTTTATATACATGCATATATATATATAGACAGTGCATGAATTAAGGTTCGAGGTCATATATTTCTCAAAACAGTACCCATGATATATTTATTCATGAATTATTATACAATCGTATATCTAGTATGTCATCATCTTACATTGAAGTCGCTTGTTGTAAATCACCTTCAAACTATATTATCTTCTTAGATGGTTTTCCGATTTTGTAGTGCGACCACAAACTTTAATTAACCTAATTTCACTGTTACATTCTATAAGTTTATATAATCAAGCCTCATCAATAATGAAGTTAATTGTTTAGCCCAATCGGAGATCTCATGCATAACGAAATTGTCTCACAAACTAAACGACAAACCTTTACAAACAACGCGACATGCTAATCTTACATGTTTGTGAATATATATGTATATATGTAGACACAGTGACGAAATACCACAGCTAGATGATATAACATAAATACAATAAATCATAAACATTCATTCGAATAAAACCACCAATACAAACAATACCAGACAATCAACTCAATATTCTTTTTTTGTTATTGTTATTGTTGTTTAAAAGAGAACAAACGTGATAAAACATTTCAAGAAGGAAAACATACAGATAAATGAACATTTTTAAAATCTTTTTTCTCTTTCTGTTCTGATCAAGTTTAAATATATATATATATATAAATATATATATATATATAATGGTTATCATCAGTATGGTCATTGTTGTCACTGTTATTCATTTATTTATTTTTTTCTTGATTGTCTTTACTGTGCATAGATATTTTTTTCCAAAACAGATAGAACCAGATTCACAAAATACAGTTAATTCAAAAGAGTAAGGTGTTTTTATTATTTTTTTGTAAAAAAAGGGGGGAAACATAGGAGAAAATACAAATACTTCAAGGTTTTGTTTGTCTCGTTCAAGAAAGTAAATGTATAGTGATAATGATGGTAATAATCATTAAGGCATGCTTATTTATGTATATATATATGTATATGTATATATAAACAAACAGTAATAATACTCAGTTATGAATATTATTCATTTGTTTATTAATTTGATTGAGCAAATGATTGGTCATACTTATTAATTGGTTATTTAATTATTTAATTAGTTAGTTACTAGAATTATTTCCTTATGCATTTATATGACAAAATTATTCATAATAAATACAGGTAATCAATATATATATTTGTGAAACAATAAAGAATTATTACTCGTTGTTTGTCATTTCTCTTAGATATAATCTTGAATATGTTTTTTTTATTTTTAATTTTGTATTTAAATGGATTGTCACATGCTTGTTTACATGTAATTTATCATTTGATTGTGCAATATACATGATATATATAAGATGCATTGAATAATGGAAAGTTCATAAATTAATAGGGGTGGGGGAATGAGATTTTTATAAACCAGTGAAATTGAATTAAGTAGTAATAAGTAATATAATGAACTGTTTTTCTATATTTTTTTGTTTGAAAAAAGACAACTAGATTTTATTACATATATCAGTATTACTACTCATGTTTATATTGTTATAAAGGCAATATATATTAAAGTGACTGATTGAATTGTTCATTTATTAATACTTAATTATAGTCAAACTTGAATGATTGAAATAAACATTGGTTTGATATAACTATAAAGTATATGCAAAACAATATATTATTTCCCTTTTTTTTTAAATCTTCAATTATTATCATACAGATTAATTTAATTATTATTGTTCAATTGTTTTGTTAAAATTTCATTTTACATTAGATTGTCATTTTAACAAAATAATCACAAAGAAATGAAAAAAAAAGAGTCAAATTAATCAATACGAATAAAATAAGAACCCAAAGAAGTAAGTCATACCAAAAATAACTCCAGGAGAAGTAATATATATATATTCAATTAACTTGCTAATTGTCAGGTTTCAAATTTGATGAGAAGGAGAAAGGACACCATAATTAAACAAATAATCCATTTACATTTGTAATTTATGTACTATACAATATGAAAAATACACACATATAATGATATTTGTGTAGGTAGATTGAGAAAGCATTGGATAATTCAAAGGGTATAATTAATCATGCTTTAGGTCATAACAACAACAACAACAAAAATAATAATAATAAATAAAAATAAAAATAACTGCTGTCTTTCATTTAGTTTTTTTATTACACAAAATGATCGCATAAAAATTAACATTGGTAATAATGGGAGGTAAATGAGCACTGATAATAAGAGGGAAAGTTAATTAAACATGTAATACAAAAAGAAAAGAATGAAAATTAGAAAAAATTTGGGGGCCCAGAAACGTTTTAACTTTTAAAAAATATATTTTAAAGAGAAAAAGTGATGACCATACAAGTCTTTAAATGTAACGATTTGAAATAAAATATTTTGAACTACATGAATGTAGGCACATACAAATATACATAGAAACACAAATTCTATAGAATAACAGACAACAAATAAACACACCATTAGTTGAAAAATGGAAGGATAAAGTAGATATGATTGAAGTAAGAATGTGAATAATGAATGAAGAAGAAAACAATTGATGTGATGCATAGTATTTGTAGAAACCAAGTAATAAACATGCAATGCAATAAACGAAAATGAAACATTAACTCCGATTTTGGGCAATGAATAAAGTCGAGATATTTTATTTGAAATAGTTTGCATAAAACACAGCAAAAATAAACGTGTTCATTGCTTTTTCGAATTCGATAGAAGTGCGCCAATATATATATATATATATATATATATATATATATATATATATATATATATTTGCATACCCATTAAGAAGATAGATATTACATTTTCACTGAGTTATGACTATTATAAATAACATTATTTTTAGGTCATGGAGATTACATTAGCATACGGAGGAAGAATAGCAGTTGGAGGTAAGAAGACTGAGAGGGGTTGTGATAGGGGACACTCACCTGGAGATAGATAATATCCAGGTAAGTAAGCATAGGCACTTGGTTGACGTGCTGTAATTGGTGATGTTGCTGTTAATGTATATGAAGCAGCAGCTGCTGCTGCAGCCGCCGCTGCAGCTCCATTCAACTGAGCAGGAAGAAAATGTGCTAAAATAATTTTAAAATATGAAAACCAAATATTTATTAGCCTAATAGGATATCATGAGATCATTTCTCAAATATATATATATATATCAAAACTTAGAAAACAAAGCGGTTGATTTTAGAATATAAGACTGAACTGTTTTGGTCCTGAAGGTGAATTTAAGGTTAATTTTATCTTGTAAACTGAATATATTCACCAATACAGCACATTAGTATTACAAATTAAAGGTTACTGTACATTTAATGAACATTGCCTCGAATGTTTGAATAAATACTCTTTTATATGTTATATTTACTTTAGGTTATTTACTAGGACAGCTGAATACAGATGCATTTAATGCGTGCAACTGATATAAAATGGATGTCTAAGCTGAAGCTTTAGTTCCATTAAGATTACAGATACACCTCGTTGATGAGTGTCAACTAGCACGAAACCTAGGTTAAGGGTTTCATGCTGACTACCTCCAACTACCATCTTATCTCAACATAGTGCACGCAATGTAGATCCATCCAGACTAGTGATCACATTGCAACTTGGTCGGGAGGATTAGATCTGCACTAAGAACGACTTGACATACATGACATCGATCGCCAGCAGTGATCAATCAAATGTCAGAAAGCAATTGGATAATTTTATAACAAACTGTAATCTTGTTATTATTACTATTAATATGTGGTTATACAGTATTGATCAATAAAACATAATAATGACAGGATATTAAGCATGGAAGTAACAACTTACAAATTGGAGCACGAATAAACTGATGTCGTTGCTTAATCAAGGAATTATTTGTACTCATCACTTCTTTTGGAACGGCCTTTTTAGCTTCAACCTATCCGAAATTGAGATTTTGTGTAGAATAAAAATAGAAATAAATATTTTCATTTAGGAGTTTGACTAAAAAGCAATAAATAATAGGGTTTTTTTCTTCTCTAAATATCGTTAATAAAAATTACATAGGTTTATTAGCTATCAATAAAAAGGATTAGTTTTTAGATATAAAAATTTCTGTAGTTTGTTTATCCTAAATTCAATGAAATTGTTATATTATTGATGGTATTACATTTTTATACATGAATCAAACACGTGTCAGGAATGTTACAGTTGGTCAATGATAGTATGAAATGAGCTACTTATATCCACATAAGTAGTAGATTACGATGGTCGGACATAGAATTTATTTCAATGGAAGATTGAGAGGGAAAGAACGGGAACAGAGAATAATTGGTAGGAAAATGCATGAACAATGAAATTTATAACGATGGACTGAGATTTGCAAAAGGAACAGTCAAGCTTGAGACGATTGATTGATATTTCTCAAATTAACTATTCACTCTATGGCTCTCAGATTTTAGTGAGATGTTCTGTAATTTTGTGCTCAAATACATTCGATTGTCCATACTCATGTTCTCGTTCATGACAATAGTAATGAATGATTTTGTACAATCCTTGTAGGAATTAATTGCATTCAGATACATGAACTATTGAATTATTATTTATTAACTTGACAATGTTGTAAGTGATTTCAGGCATACAGCTAATAGGGAATAATTTAACAAAACTGATTCAAACTAGAGATAGATAGATATTTTAATGTACATCTGATTTGGAATTATTATCTAACTGACATCAGTATATGATAAAAATCATCTTTTAAATGAGTTTGATTTTCACAAACCATGTAAATAAATATTTGGGTTCAATGAATTGAAAAAATCACCGTTTCTGTATTACAGAAAAGAGAATGCTAAACTGCTGACTAGAATATAATTTATTTCATAGAATAATAGATATACTACTAATGTCATTAAATATCAGCATATTTAACTAAAACATACTAATGATGAAAATTATTAGTCATACATATTTTCACATGGTAGCAATTAAGATTTCCTATTTGACATGGTTTTACTGAAGGAGAAATTTTTAATATCAGACGATTTGTTTGCATACAGGAATGGTACAAAGTGATAAGTCAAGTTTATTTGGAACAAAAATATCAAACATTTACAAGTATATATTTTATCAGAAGGGGTTTTTGGAAATTTTAGAAATTTCACTAGTTGAAATCATGAGTCAATTGAAGCTAGACCACCATGGAAGACTTGGAAGCACTGGACGGCCGTTTCGTTGAAGTTAGACATCACCGTCGGATACCGGCTGGCTCAGTGGTCTAGTTGGTTAAGCGCCAGAAGCAAGACTGATAGGCCCTGGGTTCGAGTCTCGCGGGGTGCGGGATCGTGGATGCACACTGCTGAGGAGTCCCATACTAGGACGAAACGGCCGTCCAGTGCCTCTAGGTTTCCATGGTGGTCTAGCTTCAACTGACTCATGATTTCAATCAGTTAAATTATATATTTTACAATTCAGCAATAATTACTACTTAATGGCTATCATGTAGACATATTTGCGGAGGTTTAAATACAAACAAATGTATGCCATTATAATTAAATATTGTTTCGTTCAGGATAAATTTGTTTTTGGCACACTTGTCTCAATCGAGCTTGTCGTTTACTTCAGGAAGGAATGTTTAACAACGTATGATGACTTAAGATTGAAATAGCCAAAATTTAAAAGCTTTTAATTAGGGGTTAAATGATTTCACCTTAACATGAATCTGAGGGGAGTTATGGTCGATCCCATCTAATTTTATGGAGAACTGAATATATTAATTCCTTCACATTATTTAGTGATTATCATTAGAAGGATATAGATTGGATTTCACTCTTTTCCGTGCAGGATTGTGTTGGAGCTATTTCTTAGCCAATTGGTGCTAGTGAATTCTTGGAGAACACTCTAAAATCTTCTTTTGTAAAAAATATAAATATACTAACGTTTTTCTTATGGTGATTCCTACTTTCATTTAACTTTGTTTAATTATAATATAATTATGTTCTTGTCCAACTGTGTTCTGATTTATGGACTTGTCGAGTGAAGTAGTTTGAAAGAAAACTAAACGATAAGAGTGGTTAAACCGTAATAAGAGAACTCATAACAAATGATAATAAACATTAACTCCATAGTTTCACTTTGTATTCATAAAATAATTCTGTTCATTTTAAGCATTTTCTGATGACGTCAAAATTTAAAAGTCAGTTTTTTGACATATACATTTTTCGGTCAATTATGCAAATAGATAAGAAATACAAATGAATAGTTGTTTAAGGTGACAATAGAAACAGAACATAAATTGTAATAGCATTATATCCAAGAAGTAAGTTAAGATTGATTCAAAAATTATCATTGTTACTTTTACATAAAATCTCAACTATAAATTAAATAGTATTTGGTTAATTTTAATACTAGTTCTAATGATAATCAGGATGTATGAGTATAGTTAGTCAAACTAAATAAATGGTACTGTGTACTAAACAGTGAACCATTCTTCCATCCTTTCTTCTTCTGTCTTAGCAACTAGTTAGTACTACAATTCCTTACACAAACAGTATATATTAAAGTTGGGTATTTAGACCTGAACTTTAGTCAAAATGTGATTTTGTTAACTAATCGCTGATATAAATTATTAACTAATTTCGGTGTATTCTTTTTATTTATATGAAATTCCAGAACATATCGTTGAAATTAATGGGGGACAAGTCAGATATTTCGTAGTTTATTAATGTTATTGACTTGTCATTGGTGGTTAATGCTACTGACAATTGAACTTATTACTCTAAAAAATTAATAGGCAAAATGTATATTCTACAGGACATAAAGCCGGTTGGGAAGTAATATAAGCGTATAGACTAGTCACACTAAGAATGTGGACTAATGAGGCTCCAAACGTTAACATATTACTCTACTGATAAAATATGGAGTAATTTAATTATGTTGCAAAATAATCGAAAATTCGCATCTGTGTGTTATACTGATGAACTGCAGAGTTATGTTCAAAGCTTTTAGGTTAATCTAGTCCTAACTGGTACCGTGAAAACATCTGAATAAAACGATGATTGCCATCTTTCTAATTATTAAAATGACACAAGTCTGTATATGTAGTGATGTAACTAATCTGATCTAGATTTCATTCAATAAAGTTTTCATCCTCTTTATCATTTCGAACGACTTCGTTCTAAAAAATAAGTGATTAGTTGATAATTGTTAATCTTTAATATTTCAAGTACTTTGTGTTTCATAGATTGACTAACTTTAAGAAAATTGCTAAATTTGTTTTAAACAAAAAAGATGAAATAAATTCATTTTATCCTATAAAATTTATTTCAAGAAAGATTCTTAAAAAAATGTATTGAAGTATAAAAGCTCAAGGTGTATATACGAATTGAATATAAAAGTGTGAAATTCACAAAAACATTTATGAAATAATGCAATTTATTTTCGGTCAAGGTCATCTCATTTGAATATTCAACCGAAATATATATTTATTCAATCGTATCTAAGCAACAAGAATATAAACTTTGCGTAATTATGAATGGATGAATTGAAATTGATTTTGTAAAAAGAACATAGTGAATTGTTTGATTAGATACGCATTTATTTCATTATAATTATGACTTATATATAAGTTTATAAAGATTACAAATAAGTATTACATATGAGTAAAATACCAAGGTTCAATCGTTTCTGCTAACTGCTTGTAAACACTTTACATTCATGCGAAATAAATACCCATTTAGTTATTAATATAAAAAAAGACTTTTCTGCATGAATAATAGTGAGGTCAGTTTCTTAGATGTCATAGAGAGATATGTTTTTTTTCTTACTTTTAACTACAAATTACGAATCCAAACTAGATAACAGACTTGGATGAATCACTAGATAATTGTCTTTATAATGGTCTTAACCATAGTATTGTTAGTCAAATATAGTATATTTATACATCAAAGTACTGTGTTAAAACAACAAATAATTACAAATATCTAATCATTTACACTAACTAGATCTTTTTAATCAGCTGAAAAAAATCATGTTCTTCTTCATAAAAGAAATGAAAGAGTCATTACTACTTTTCTGTAAAGTAAAACTTACAATACAATATTTACAATAAGAAAAAGCATAAGGAAAACAAGTAACATGATAAACAAGGAACGAAAGGTGAATGAAAACATAGGAGAAACAAATCAAAAACAATATTTCGTAAAATTGGAAGATGGATGATATATACATTCATAGTTGAAATAATACGATATAACAATAATGCCTTTCATTCTGTCTTTAGGTTTTATCATAAGCTTGTCCTTAGATTAAATAAACGTCAACATTTTTCTGTCTAGATTTAAGGGTCAGTTAAATGAATTTCTGCTAAGTTTTCTTCTTCTTTATATGGATATATATATATATATATATATATATATATGTTAACTCTGATGTTGTTTGTATATATATTTTTGTATGTATATACTTACTGATATATAAATAATAATCCCTTAATGTTTGTGTGGTATAGTTCTAATCGATAAAATAGTTTCCAATGAAGCAGAACTTTTTCTTCGTTTGAACCATGTCAAAATGATGATAAAGTTGAAAAATGAGAGAAAGTCTTTCTTAAATTTACTAAATGAAAATAGTATAATCGATTTTCATTTGGGTTACACATTTGCAATTATCATGCCTTGGTAGCTATTTTGTCATTTAGACACTCAAGCTCAAGCAAATAACTTTTAATTTCTTTATTTACGCTTAACTGTATCTCATGAAAATAGACTAATCATTAAAACAATAATCAGCTCACTGTAACGAAGTGCGCACAGATGAATTTATCTAAAGTGTTACACAATAAGTTGAAGAGATTTCTCTATAGTTTTTAGTCTGAGCTGAAATACACAATTACTATATCGAAAAAGGTCCAATAATATTGTAGAGTACAGGAAATTAATAACGAAGTATAAAATAATTCCTTCATGTTATTTTTCGATAACTACTGAATCGATACGGTTAATTGTTATCAAGTTCAAGATGTGACGCAAATAAGTATAACTTTGTGTTATCTGTTTATGGGTTGTGGAGATTGTCAAGTTTCTGATTGAGATCATGAACCGATTGTTGTTAGGTCACCCTAAACCGATAATTACCATGCGCTTACTAGTGACTAGCTTCGTGGGAAAATTCTCGGAGTTCTGGTGAGAAGCCGTCACCAGTGGAGCTAACCCGTTTCGGTTAGAAAGAGGTGTCTACCTCAGTACAATGGAAGATGGTCGCGTAACTTCATGGAATATTTGAGGTTAGACGTTGACACCATCGGATGCCGGCCCAGTGGTCCAGTACGCTAAGCGTTCGCGCGCGAGAATGAAGCCTCCGGGTTCGAATCCCGAAACCAAGATCGTGGATGCGCACTGTCGAAAGTCCCACAATAGGACGAAACGGCCGTCCACTGCCTCTAGGTTTTCAATGGTGGTCTAATACCAATGGGTTCATGATCTCAATTAAAAACTTTGTATTAGTTCACTTCACATCACCACTGTGAGAAAAAATTGCCGGTAAGAATACTAGAATATAAAATAAGACAAAATTCAAAGGAAAATCAGGTATGGAAAATTCGGTTTAAAATGAACAGACAAAGTAAAGAAATGAAGAACGTTGATCTTATCATAATCAAAATTTAAAGGGAAACCAATGAACTAATGAGGCTTTATGATTATCAGAATTTTCAGGCTTTGTTTTCTGATTAGTGAGCAACATTATGCTCATCTAGTTTTTTAGTGTCGATATATTTCTACTAATCATGTTGCGATGTGTCTACATATCTCAACATGTTGTGAACGACGGTAAGATTTTAAGTGATTTGAAGTAGTCAAAGTAGTCAACCCTGCATGACCTGGATTATATACTAGTTACCAATTTCTAGGATGACGCGCATATAATTTTGAAGGAACTGATGTTTACTATTAGTTTCAAATTCACATCAACCAGCTTCACAGTGTAAGACGTTACTATTGAGCTATTCAGAATGCTCATACCGGATTATTTGTTGTTCTTTTTCGTGTTGCCTGATTAATTGTTATGTGTAATGTTAACGCTAGTGTATGAAAAAGTTTGAATTTAAAAATACGTAAGTACATTTATATATATTCGAGTAGAAATAAAAGGAAACTAAAATGAAGTTTTTATATGCATTGAAACTTACCATTTTATTATGCAAATCATGGAAATGAATTTCACAAACTTTTTCAGCTGATTCTTCTGATTCGAAAGTAACAAATCCAAAGCCTGAAAATAATTCATATGAATTCAAGTAATTTTCTTTAAAGCTCTATGATTAGTTACAAAATATTTTGTATATATTTACAAAGTAGAGTATTTATTTATTTTTCTAAGAAACAATTAAAATCACAACGGAATACATTATGCTTTAGAAAAATACAATGATAACTTATATTCATATTTCAAATGAATATTAGAAACTAATTCTAATGCAATGCGCTCACAAATACCCTGATACAACCGAGAGTGGGGAGAGTCTGTACTCCTTCTCGAAATGCTCTCATATGGTTACGTTCATATAACCACCGATGGGGAAGTCCTACTCACTGCCTTCTTAAGGCGGGGGTGTCGTTTACGATATTAAGAGGACGGAAGGCGAATGTCCGGCGCTCTAACCGGGTTGATGGACACGGAGGATCCATCAAGGAGAGTTGGAAAACCCTGATTTAAAACCAATAGTGAATATAGGCTCCAAGATCCTGAAGGACAAACGGCGTATGAACCAATTGTTGGTCATCGGCTTTGTGGATTAGACCTTTGTATCAAGTGCTCAGGGTATGGCTCCTAAGGAAACTACCTGCTTCATTTTGGGCACCCAAACAGTATCACAGCCCACACACATATCAATTGACTTGTGTAACGAATATGTATTCGATGCCCAATTGTATTAAGATTTATGTGTTCAAATAAATAAACAAACTAATATGATGCATTAAAATATTGGATATTTACAGTTGTAACTAGTATCTTTACAAATCACTTTGAAATTGGTAGTTAAAAATTCATAACTTAATTTAAACATTGAATGTTCATATAAAGTTTATTGACACTTAAAGTGTCAATAAATGAATATAAGATTAATAAAATCATTCATTCTCTTCAATCTAATCACAAGATTTTTTGTGATCACATTTTTTTCTATTATGTCTCTGAATAATCAGTTTTTTTTAGGAAACTAATAATTCAAGTCTAGTTTTGTACTATTTATCTATTGAATTAGTCAACTAGTTATTTGAAGTTGTTTATTTGCTAGTTAAACTTACATATTTTGTGAACGAAACTTAATAAGTACACAGAAAGACATTTTTTTAGAAAAAGAAATAGAAGCTTAACAGTGCATTATACATATATATATACAAAGGAATGCACCTTAAGCTTTGTCCTTTACACATCGATGTGATTACAATAAGATATTTGATGAATTAGGCCAGTGCAAAAAGAATACTCCCCACTGAGAATATTGATCAAAGATTTCTAAGTGCAATTACTTAAATATATATATTATAGTTTTATTCGTTCATTAGAATAACATAGAATTCTATCTGAAAATAATCTTCTTGATTATATTGATCACAAGAGGAGACAATTTATTAATTAATTGTATTGATATCAAAGTTACAATTTAAGTCAATTTAATATCTTAGTTTTTATTTTATGTGATATAAGTGTTATACTTGATCAAGGATCACTAGACAGTTACTTAGACTTAGTCTATGAACATTTAGTCCACTTTTGAAGGTCACAGTTAAAATATTATGGCAAAGGCAGAACTAAAGATCGATTAACAACTTCATTTTATTATATTTCAGCCGGTGGAAGACAAAACATTAAGCTAAGAATAAATAGAGCGATAAAATTTCTTTTTAGTTAGTTTTTCATCATGGCTCTACACTACTAATATATATGTATGATTTACAACAGTGAAATAATTCTCATCGAGTGGTTGCGTTACATAACAATTATATAATGTTGCATTGATTATAAAATAATATTGAGTAACTTGAAGAAAGAGGATGATAGTAATCAAAGTAACTATTTGGAAATTAAACAGTTATGTATTGTGCAATATGGCAAATGTTTGATTTTCAATACTTACTCCATATCGCATAATGCATAACTGCTACTCAAAATTATTTTATAATTAATGTAACATTATATAATTGTTATGTAACGCAACCACTCGATGAGAATGATTTCACTGTTGTAAATCATACATATATATTAGTAGTGTAGAGCTATGATGAAAAATTAACTAAAAAGAAATTTCTTCACTTTATTCGTTCTTTTTACTGTATGTTAAAATGGGAATTTTCACTATACAAACTTAAATGTTTTATATAGAGATCAGTTAAAAAGGGATTTTGTACCTCTTCTCGAGTTCTCCATATATTTCATTACTGTCTTACCTGTTGTTACATTATGGTGCCGGAACACCTATGTCACTAATTTACTCTAACTGCAAAGATATTAAAAACAAAGCAGTAAGAAATGACTATGGAACTTTGGTTTAGGATTCTATAGTGGTGAATACTCACAAACCAAGACTATTATGTTTAGAAGTAGCCGTGTTTTATTTGGAGAATAAAGTAAGTATTTATTGTTTCATATCTCTACCTGTGGTCAGCTCATTACATACAACAACGATCAGTAACGTACACATTCAAAATAGCTGTGAATTAGATAAGAATGCTACTGAGTGATTCAGACTGAGACCGTGAACCTCTATTATTAATTAGTGTATCTTATGACAACTAAACTAGGTACACTGAGAGAAATATTTGTTTAGTAGTTGAATTTCACCTTACCTCTATGTCGATTAGTTGACTTGTCCATCATTAATTCACATGATTCTAGCTGTTAGAAAAAATAAAAATGACAAATAATTGGGTCTGATTAAAACACCATGGTTTAGCAAAATAAAAATAAAAACAATTTAAAAGTAACTGGAAATAAACAACTCAGTGAAGTGACGAGTAGAAATGTTCCTTGGTTTTTTTTTGAAAATTGAATAGTTAGTTTTAAAAAATGAATAGGGTACTTCAAATGAATTTCCAAAACAGGAAACATTTCAAAGTAATCGATCAATTAAATTAAAAAGCGGTTTATTGGGCTTAGTAACTAACTATACACCAATATTGATAATTACCATATAGTTTAACGACAGATATACAAAAAGCCGTATTTATACCAAACATCTCTAGGTCTGATAACTTTCAGAGTAAGGGAATTCAAGTATGTTAGTCACTAAAACACAAGAAAACATATGGTGAACATTTCAAGACATTTTAGACTAATTGTTAACATTCACTTGAAGGTTAAAAAAGACTCAATAATTCTGCACTCGAGATATATATATATCTTTTACAATGAGCTATAGATCGTGTTAGTTTATGCGTTGTTACAGTCACGTTTCAACATTTGTTTTAATTTTCAGTTGTAGCTTTTAAGTCATTTTTTATCGGTCGTTTGAATCTTCCAATTGATGTTTAGGACTGCAGTTGATCAGTCTTTATTGGCATTTGTGCAGATTGCCTTGATATTGTCTTAAGTCACAAGCTCTATAAGCAGAGATGGACAGTAGCTAGCATTGAAATAGACTGTAAATGATAGATAATTCAACCTCACAATGATCAAACTTTGTTATATCTGATAAGTCTATAATCACTGAAATGAAATTCTTAAAGAAATATATGAGTGTAATTGTCCAGTTGTTGTATAGACAGCCATTATAATTGTATGTCAGTTATGTAGAAACTGGCTAAAAATGATAACTGATGAGAGATCTCGGTATAGTAAGGATAAGTGGAATATAAAAAGGTTCTATGGATAACTTACGTTTACATCTAAAACAATACTTTGTCAACTCACAATGTAGGGTCAATCGGTTTACGTGGTCAAGATGGAAGAACTGGATTTCCAACTCATAGTTTTTCCAGCAAATACATGTCAACGACAATTCGGTAGCTACGTGTTCATCAATTAGATAATTTTCACTGGAATTTACCATTGTAAATTTTCATTGAAATCGTGAACCGATCAACGTTAAACAACCAATGAAAACGTGGAATTACTAGAGGGCCATTTCATTCTAGTATGAGACCTCACAGCAGTGTACATTCACGACCACTCAAATGGAAATCAAACCCATGAATTTCGGTCTCGAGTACAAACGCTTAACTTTTAGATCATTGGCTAAAATTCAACCGTGTTTATTTTTAACTTCATTTATTTTATTCATATGACGTAGTAGGATATTGAGACTTTTGTGATACAGCATAAAACTAGCTATCTTAGTGAACTTAAAGTATTGGTCATTATAAAAAATTAATTTACAAATTTTATTCAACAACTTTCATAAGTCATTATCGTGAAAAAATGGCTTAAGGTATATGTTCGTAAATGAACTGACCACATTCAGTTTTAAAAAAGATTTTATATCTTGCACTAGTAAGCAACAATAAAAGTGTAACACTCAAAGTGGAATATCATGAATCTATGAATAGTACATGAATAATGCAGTATTTTATTGATATTTCAAAAAAAGTATTAAAATATTTATTATTTTCAGAAGGGGTATTGTGGATATTATAGTAATTTCAATGGTTGAGATCCTGGGTTCGAATCTTGCGGGGAGCGGGATCGAGGATACGCACTGCTGCGGAGTCCCACAATCGGATGAAACGGCCGTCCAGAGCTTCCAGGTTTTCCATAGTGGTCTAGCTTCAACTAACTCATGATCTCAACCATTGAAATTATTATTTATTAGGAAAATAATTAACATTTCTATTAATATCCCATATATATATATATATATATATATATATATATATATATATTAATTTGATTGTTGATAAAAATTTTTACCTATGTAAAACTTCCATAGCGACCATTTTTCATGATGTAATAAAGTCAATCAATTGAAAAAGTTTGAAGTAAATTTCGAAATAAGTGATCATAAAATGTTGATAAAAAGTCATTTTTTCTTAGAAAAGAATTCAAATTTACCCCCTTCTCAATTAGTACAAATAAAATGGCTGTTTGTGTTAGTACAAAGCGTTTTAGTCTAAATAGAATAATCTATGTTTCTATAGCAATGAAAAATTACAAGTTAAGTAGAAGGATAAATAGAGAACGAGGTAGAAACAGAAACTAAGAGCATTTCTACGTATGTCTGTGTTCAAGCGATAAACTTAAATTAAAATGAGTGAAATAAGCGGCTCAGTTGAGTGAACTAAAGATCTCTTTACAAAAAAAACAAACAAATTAAGCACCCATAAGCTTTGGAAAATCCGTCGACCACTATATAAAACTACTGTTATTTGTCTGAAATAAAAAATAACTGACAAACTTTAATTTGACGCTGATTTATCTATATGACGTATAAATAAATAGTAGGACGTAGAACATCTAACGGCGTAATTCGTGTGTTAATTAGTTAACAACATTAAATTAATTTACAAGGAATCAGTTGTCACGAAAATATCGATCAGTATTATTAAATTAAGACACACTAGATGATATGATCTTAGGTAAACATTAAAGAAAAATAGTTTTAACCGTCCATGATAGTAAAACACGATGTTTCCCTTTTCATCTGTTACAACCAAGTCACTGGTAAAAATAATCAGATTATCTTCGCATATATATATAATGCGTAAATTAGATAAAAATTTGATAAGATGAATAACGTTCATTCTCTCATGGGAACATTAAGATTTACCAAATAAAAAAGGTTTGGTGAAAGAAGACCATTGAGTAAAATAAACATTGCTTCAAAGAAAAGAAATTAAAGTTAGTTAAAAACGCTTTGAATTTATTAGAAAGAATAAATTTTCATTAAAATTCAGTAGTATGTTATCAGTTATCATATAATAATTGTTACGATACTATTTTTTGTATGGGTATTCAGCCTTCTTTTTTTTTTAATAATTGAATACCTATTCTTGATGAGAGCCATGTATATCACAATGCCCTCATCGATGGGTCGTTTTCAAAATGATGGAAAAGATAAAAAAATTTTTTAGGGAATCTGAAATTACAAAGAGATTTATTCTTACAGACAGACAGTCAATTAAGTAGTAATGTATTCGCTTTAATCCATAATATGAGTATGTATTTAATTCTATTGTACTTATTCACTATAGATTTAATAAGATAAATAATGAACAATATTAGCTTTTTACGGAAAAACAATTGACTCCTTACAGTTATATGGTACAATGATAATAATTAAGTACTGAGAGTATATCTGGACAAAGCAATCCATCTGATCATATCCTACAATCAGGTCTAATTTAACATTCATTATTAATTACAAACTTTATAAACACTGAACTCAATCAACATAACAAGCTTTTTTTCTGATATTTTGATTAGCAATTGCACACTCAATTAAATTACAATGAAAATGAGAATAGGAATGATTCTCATAAACACTAAAAGAATATATATATCTATATAGAGATTTATACAGAGTAAATTGAATTTTTCCTTGCTTATTATATAAGTTGTGAGAATTAATTATTAATCACAGCGGGTGGTAAACGTAGATGTATGTATGAGTATAAATATATGAATATAGTGTACCCGTTTTTGAGAAAATTCCCAAATGATTTGCAAAAATAAATTGAAGCGTGAACTTGTATACTTAATAATGATGAATTCGGTATTTATATATATAGATTGACCTGATATCAAAGGATTTCTATTATTTAGCCTTTCTGTTTTACACGCAGTTCATAAAATTCTAGTTACTTTTATCTGCGAACTATCCAATCTAATCATTTATGTAAGATAAAATACAATGTTTCATCATACTTTAATTAAGCTATTGATAATTGTATCAGTAATAATTTGAGCATTGTGTATCAACTCCATCAAGAACAAAGAAACATTAGTGTAACAGATAATTTTGCTAATATTTTTATTCCTTTCCTACATGTATGTGATTCAGTTTCTCAACTATATTAATCATAATCATAGTAATAATAACTAGTAATAACCGATTACATTCTATCCTCATTTGTTTTAACCACATCTATGTATAATCCCAATGATTTAATTGAATAATTGATGCAGAAAACAAAACCCAGAAATCAAAAGGAAACCTTTTAACAGCTTTACATATAGAGACAACATGAATGTATGAATGAATGAGATTTAAACCTAATTCGCAGTGTAATTTTTTGGTTGAGTTAATATGTTTACTCAATTACTTCAAGAGTTTACTTCTGTTACAGACATTCAATCTTTCAGCCAAAGTGATTTTATTAAAGACTCTGTAAGTAAATAATTTTAGACATATTTAAATCTTTAAAAAAAATTTTTGGTTTCCTTTTAATTTGACAAAGTAGATAAAATTGTTATCATTCAATAACTGACTATATATTACTGGATTAAGTAGACCACAAGGACAGTAAACAGAAACCAATAACATATTTATCGATCTTTATTCTCTGGTTGAAATCATGAGGCAATTGAAGCTAGACCACCATGGAAAACCTGGAAGCACTGGACGGCCGTTTCGTCCTAGTATGGGACTCCTCAGACTACATTTCATTATTTCTATTCTTGACATATTAAGTAAAAGATAGAAATCTTACACGATCATTTTTTTCTTTTATATACAGTTAATAAAAATCATATGAATCATATAACTCAGTGGTCAATATAAGATCAAGTTTGAACTGTAAAATGGTTGCTTCAAACTTTAATTTACAATGATTTATTAAATACATTCATGTTTACAGGGTTACAATTACTCTTTAAATGAAAAATCTACAAATAATTTTAAGTCATTAGTCTTTATGATCTCATCGAGTAAAGTCACTTCATTCAGATAGGTGGAAGGATAAACTTTTAACAGATCAATTGTTGATGGTTCATTTAAAGAATTTGTTGTTTTCAGTAGTATATTTATTATATAAATGAACAGAAGATAAATTTTTAAAAAATGACTTTAAATATCTAATACATTGTAAACCTATGTGAAATATGATGTAAAACCGATGTGTTATATGGGTTAAATGATTGATTTAAAAGAAAGAAAAGAAAATATTATTTTCCCATAATATTAAGCGAATAGATTTATTTGAGACAGTGAAACATTTCATTCTGTCAAACTGTATATAAATGTAATAAACCACAAACCACTTTTCTGATTTAACCTTTCCATCAGTTTTTAAAATCTTATTGGAATGAAAAAAACAACTGTTAACATTATCAATAGCACTTAAACTACACTAGAGATATCTATTCTGTACAATTTCAATAAATGTAAGTTGACTGAATGAAAATGCATAATTTATTTCTGTCAAGTTGTGGATTACTATGAAACGAAGACATATGAGATCAACATACTTATGTACACTTATGCGACAGTTATGTTAAAACATTAATTGCCTAAATACAGCGTATTATAAGCCCAGATAACAGCGACTAAGGATTTTACGATTATGCTATTCTAAATAACAGGAAAACTATATATATATATATATATATATATATATATATATATAGGAGAGAGAGAAAGAGAATGAAGCAGAGAGATCAATATGTCGTCGTACATTAATAACAGTTCAGGAAGTTGATTAAAAGATCAGTTATTCATATTGTATTTTCTTGTAACCTATGTTTAAAACAAAGAGCAGGATAAGTAGTAAACATAGTTATGCTGATGTTAACAACTTTGACAAAAATCAACCAAAGTTATGAATAGCTGGTTACAATTACAATATGTATCCCAACCAGGAAACTGTGTCTGCCTAAGTGATTTATATTCTTATTCTGGTACATGTTTCTTTAAAAAAATTTTCTCCTCTATTAGAATAGTAAGCAGTGAGTTGTTTGTCATACACAACAAATCTAAATACACTAATAATAGATTTTCCATAACATTATGATTTGATTTCTAGTATGCGTTAACTACTCTAAATTAAACATCATGTATTGAAGAAACTGGATTAAAGCTATGCTTGGAAGAGATTTATGAAATAATACGTGTACATTACGTGTGTTTAGTGACACTGTTAATTTAGCGTAATGATGGAAGTCGGCAAAGTATAATTCCTTCCTTGTCACTCAGTCAGTTTCTTCTTGTCAATGGAATAAACATTATTTACGGTGCCTAATCCATAATCCATGATTCACTTGATTCCCTTCACAACACATTTCCTAACTCTTCACATAATGACGTCTTGCTTCCTACGTTTAATTTATTCATTACATACGCGCTGTAATCTGCCATTCAGCAGAAGCACTTTAGTGATTAATAAACTTTTCTGTTTTGTTTATCTTTTAAAAGAATAGGGACAAAGCACAAAAGAATTGATGTTCATGTTTCAAAATAGAAATACTGTATGCTCTGTGGTGAAAATATTGATACAGGAGAAGCTTAAGAAAAACCCTTGTAATTTGAAGAAAATCAGCCATTAATCACTTGTAATCGATAATTATTTAAAAACCTTTATCTTTTGATTATCATTCCTATTAAACAACACATTCAGTTAGAAAATTGACATAAGCATCGATAAATTATTTGAAAATGGGAAACTGATTCTAAATTTAACTTTGTTAACATATTATATTCTTTGATAGTCAACATAAATATGAAGGCATCGTAATTCTGCTTTCGAATTTCAAGAAAGTACTATGCCATTCAACAAAACAACATGAAAGATAAGTTGATCTACCATTTCTCAAAGTATTTTCTGGTTTAATAGTTAATAATTTTTGATTGAGATCATGAACCTAATGATGTTAAACCACCATTGAAAACCTGGAAGTACTGGACGGCCGTTTCGTCCTATCTTGGGATTACTCGGCAGTGCACATACACGATCCCACTCACGGGATCCGAACCCAGGGCCTTCAGTCTCGCTCGCGAATGCCTAACCTCTAGACCGCTGAGGCGACATCCAACGACGTTAATGTCTAACTTCAACCAGCCCAGGTTTCCAATGATGGTCTTGCTTCAATTGACTCATCAACTCAACTGTAAAATTACTATAACATCTAAAAAAACTCCCTTCTGATAATAAAATATTATTAATAGTATTGTTGACATTTCGTTGAGTTTTATTTGAAAACTAATAGTCTCTCTGTTCAATAAGTTGGTTGGTTGTAATAACAAAATCGATAAGTAAAAATAACTCTGGGATGTAGATAGTAATTTATCATTTAACCAATTCTTTGATATATATATGAAATAGCCTTTTGCATGTATCTAACTGCTAAAGTTATAATACGAGGTATTTATGATAACGCCTATTATGTGACTTGTGCAATAATTTATTGGTTAGATATTAATTTTCTGAAATTGACTAACTAGTTCTTTTTTCATGGTTTATTAATTATTTTTGACTAAGGTTAAGTAATCTGTTAATAGTATATGATGAAATTTGTCATAAATAATTTCTTTCAGGTGAAGCGAAAAATCTATGTTAACATCTTAGTTATCAGATGGATAACTGGATGACCGATTAAATGACCGTGAATGGAAACGCTTTATCATTATTGATAAAGAGTTATTGAATTCGACAAGTATCATATTTATACCAATTTTCAAGAATACCAAAGATTGAATGGGTTAAAATGTCAATAAATAGAATTATTAGAACGGCGTACTTAATTTGTGTCTGAAAAAAAGATAGCTTAAACGTTGATAAATCTACCGTGGTTGTATTTATGCAATAGGAAAGGTAAAATGCTTTAATTGCTGAGATTTACACTCTCAAAAATATATAAAATCACCTAGAATTTATGTCTAAAAAAATAAAACATTTAATTAAATATTTAATTTTAACCAGTCACTGCTTTCACTTTGGTATCTGATCAGAGATTTCTATTTCACTGTTAGATACTACTCACTTGGCTATTTCCGAAAGAGTTTATGTCTTATTTCATTGTATGTTATTATTAAATCATTGGAACAGAAATCGAACATGGCATCAATTGCTTACCTTGCCAAATTGACTAAAGTATTCACTTAATTCTTCATTTGTTGTTTGTGTTGCAACCCCACCGATGAATACACGCTTAGTTTTTGTAGATACCTATAATAGTAACAAAACAGATATCTTTACAAATCGGTAGAAAAATATGAGAGAAAAAAAAAGGTAACTACAAAAAAAGATTTTTAGCATGGAATTTGCAATGCACTGTGCATGTGTATACACATATAGTTATATAGTGTCTATCTGTACAAGAAAAACAGACAAACTTTTTCTTCCTTTTTATGCATAGAATATGGGTACTAAACTATATTTTCAGATCTAATTTCATCTTCCTGATGTTTAATAATAACTCCTTACTTTTGAATAAGAAACTTAATCAGTAGGATACTGATACCTTTTTATTTATTTATTTGGATACATAGATGTTGGTACAAGAGGGCACCAAATATATATGCACCACACAAAATAATGAGAATTTGAAGAGAAGAAGGAAAAAAATGAAAATGTAAGGAGCGATAAAAAAAGGACAATAACGAACAGATTAGTGTAAGGTAGTGTAATAATAATAATAATGGGGGGAACAGAAACGTACAATCAGAAAAGATCTTTCAGTTAAGGAAGAAGCAACCACTTTTTATGTAGAAAGTAAAAGAAGGTTACAGCAGGATCGCCACTGTCTCCTATTCTGAGCCATATCTGATAACGTCTCTAGCCACTGTGTTTCACCATCTCTCGGACCTCAGCCAGGGAGTCGTGAAGGACCAACACAGCCCAGCCCTTTGCAGCTTTCTTTCATACCACGACACCATGTCATACCTAGTCAACTATGTAGTCTAATGTAAATCTAATTTTATGTGAAATGTTTTCGTTTCATTTTAAATTTTGTCGTTTTTTACCCACCCAAATAAATAAGGACCATATTTATTGAAATGTGTCAATAGTCAGTTGATTTTATTTATCGTGTATGATATAATACGTACCAATCATTTGTTCTAAATATCCTGATTGTAGCATTAATCAATCATCACAAACATATAAAATTACCTTTACCGCTTCATGTGATTGCTTCCAGTAAGCAGACTTATTAATTAGAAGAAATTAAACTTTCAATTGTCAAATAAAACATTTACTTATTTAGATAAACTCATAGCAGAAACCTCTCGAATCCACAATAAAATTTATCAAAAAAATATACATATCATTGGTTGAAATCATGAGTCCTAGTATGGCACTCCTCAGCAGTGCGCATCCATGATCCCCCCGCGGGATCTGAACCCGGGACCTATCAGTCTCGCGCCTGGGTTCGAATCTCGCGGGGATCGGGATCGTAGATGCGCATTGCTGAGGAGTCCCATACTAGGACGAAACGGTCGTCCAGTGCCTCCAGGTTTTCCAGGGTGGTCTAATTTCAATCGACTCATGATCTCAACCATTGAAATTACTATATTGTACACAAAACACCTTCTGATAAAAGTATATACGTATATTAGTAATAAGACAAAATTACTTAGTTATTTAACTACGCCACAAGATTTTTGATTTATTTCTACATTTAAAAACTATTAGTTTTCTTAAAAATTCAGTTCAAATATTCAACTCATATAATAAACGTAAAGTAACCATATATCAATAACGACTGAAATGTTCAATAACTGAAAAAGTGGAAACTAAATGTACATTATGAAAATATTTATAGTATTGATTTTGATTACTAATACAACAAGAAATCGATCATTAGAATATTCTGTTGGAGAACATAAGATGTTTAACATTATGATAAAAAAATATCACATAATATGATACCATCTATAGATTATGATAAAGCGTGAAACATTCTTTTCGAAAAACGTTATACATCAAATAAAAGATATGTTGATAAAGTATGTTACCAAGAAATAACTAGATTCAAATACTATTCCGCTTAGTCAAAGGCAGTCTATTAATGATAGCACCTATAGTTTTTACTTCTCATGTATATTAATCAATTAATAATCACATTCAATGCTGATTATTGCATTATCAGTAAGTTTATGAATGTAAAAAGAATAAATCTTTTCCTAGAGGACAGTTATTCTGATGTAATTTACTTGTATAATAACTATTTCGTTCAATGTGTACTTAGTTAAGTAAAGCATTACCTAAAATTAGAATGAATATCTTAATTGTATAAACATTAAGAATAATTACAGATTGAAAGTTACTCTCTCTAGAAAATCAATTAATTTGTTTTGTTACACTTATTAATAAATAAGGATTTTTAGGTATTGAGTTCAGGTAAAATACGTTAGACTACTTTGAATTAAGTTCAAGAGAGTTTTTACGACATATTTAGTTAAGGTAAGATGATGCTTACAAGATTATGTTAGAATACTACGTAAACGTCGTATGAATTTAGTAGTTATCAGATTTTTGCTTTCTATGTTAAACATGACACGTTTATCTTTTATGTAAATGAAGAATATTATTTAAAACACGATGTAGCCCATGATCTGACTCCAGTTGATTACTATTGAGATATCCATACCTCCAATCCTCATATATAATAATCGACTTCACTTGCGTTAGTGAATAACAATTAAAATAAGTAAAATACGAGAAAGGATTTTGAATAGTATACTTTGTACAATCATTGATCCAGGCAGAAAATCAAAGGAACAAAGCTAAAGGAAATGATGCACGGTGGAGAAGGCATGTGAGCCAACTCAATTTAATCAAGCATGAATCAATATTTATAGACACATAAAAGAAGCTATAGACATTTGATGGGTAGGATAAGATGTGTATACAAATACGCTCATATAAAAACAGTCAAGGTTGACAATCAAATAATTAACAAGGTCGAAACGTGACTCAAGAATAATGGATAAGTTAGCCTGTCCAGGAGCTAGAATAAGTTATATAGGCTTAACGTAACGACCGACACTACAACGACGTTAATACGAAAACGTATGTAGTTTAGACAAAAATAAGTAAAAACGAAATCCATAACGTTTAAGTAAACTTTTATACATAGAAAAAACTAAGGGAAAAATGTTTATATAAATAGTGATTTATCAAATTGTTTAGATCACAACAAGGAGAACATATGAAAACTAGCAATTAAAAAAATCTTCCATTATCATTTAAAAATTCACAGAAGTGCATTTTACGGGACAATAATATCCTGAAGAGAAAATAACATCGACATTTTTGTGGAAACAGCATTTATTAGTTATTATTTTCTGACATTATTCAGCTGACCAACCTACTACCATTCAGTTCAAACATCATCTAGCTAATGAGTTCAGATAAACAAATAGCCATTTGTGTAACGGTGATGATTTTTAATTTGTGAGTAGTTATTTACTCATTACGTTTAATACATCATAAATACAACATTCAAAAGAAAGATGGCTTATAAAAGGTATCCACTAGAACCCAAAAGTTTGCGAGTCAAACGTAATCAATGTAGGACATGGAATAAGTGTGTATTGGGTCAAATTGCTACACATCACACTAGAAAAGTAAGAAAAGAAAATAATAGGACGTAAATCAAATAAGAAAACCTAGTTTCATCTACAATAAACATTAAATAATGAGAAATACAGAAGCAAAAGAAACAATGAAGAATTAAGAAAACAATTTTCGTCAGGTTTTAAAGGAAGAGAATGGATAGAGTTGAGCCAAAACCGCTGACTTTCTATTATACCACTTAACATCTCTACCTACTTACTTGGAAACCGCATCTATTGATATGCTACAAACTAACAGCAAATAATTTTATAGACTATCATAATTTCTTGGTGATTTTGACTCTTGATTTTTTATAACTGTGGTCTTGGCAGTGGAAGTACTGATATCTACAAGTGACAGTATAATACAGGACGTCCATTTCATCCTGTTTAAAACTAGTCATCTGTATGTATCTGGATTCAAGGTTTAATGTTTACAGTAAGATTAGAACCCAGTATACTGTCAAGTTTATTATCTACTGACTATAAGGTGAACATTTTAAATATTTTATGCTTTTTTAATTTTTCCGCTGGTAAACTACCTTAAAATTTAAAAAAATCCATAAGACATATATATAGTCACTTTACAAAATAAACATAATTTCATCCATAATCTATTTTAATTATTGACAGTATAAAAACAATATTTCATAACCTAAATAATAAAGAACACAAGATCTATGGTTAAGTTGAACACATTGAACTATGTGGAGCCAAATCAAAAATGAATAGTCAAAGCTTATTCATTACTATAATATAGTAATTAACGAGTTCAAACTATCTCAATTATTTCTGAATGTAGAAATTAAAACAAAGACAAAACAAAGTAAGGATAATATATATTTAAAATGAACCAATAATATAATTTCAGCAATTGAGATCATGAGTCTATTGAAGCTAGACCACCATGGAAAACCTGGGAGCACTGGATGACCATTTCATCCTATTGTGGAACTCCTCAGCAGTGTGCATCCATGACCCCGCCTCGCGGGTCTTAAATGAACTATAGTTAACATTATAGTTATACAATTGATAAACTCATTGATTATTACAATATTCTAGACATGTATAAAATGTCTATTTCTTGTCATCTATTTATTTCTAAGTTATGTAATATAAAATTTAAGAATGTAAATGATTTGCAAAAGTTTATGATTCATTGACATTTTATTAAAAACGGTGGCGCAACTTCGTGGATTGGTTGAAGTTAGACATTAACATTGTTGGATGCCGGTTCAGTGGCCTAATTGATTATGCGCCTCGAGCGAGACTGATAGGTCCTGGGTTCGAATCTCACGAGGGGCGGGATTGTGGATGAGCACTGTTGAGGAGTCCCATTCTAGGACGAAACGGCCGTCCGGTGCTTCCAGGTTTTCCATGGTGGTCTAGTTTCAACTGACTCGTGATTTAAACCAGTGAAATTTATTAAAAACACTTCATTAAATAACATAATCAAATATATTATTATCTATTTTTGTATAGTATAGAATTAAATGTAACTGGTAACTAGATGCACTTATTATATCCAAGGTCAATATTACTAAGCATAGTGATATTTTTGTTGCTGTTGTTGTAATTAATCGATTAAATTTACACAACAAATATCTT